TTGGGAGGCTATTGGTAGCTAATAGTACTTATGTTAATTGAAAATTAACATATAGTACTTGTTGTTATAGATTGTCGTGTGGGAAGACTTACCTTAACATAAGAAGAAATTTAGTACCACGGGTAACCTTTTTAATAACAAAAGGGTTGAGGTAACTAGATAATTTACATTATTTATTACCTTGTATAAGTTATTCTCAAGTTGCTTTTCTATGATTTATTGAGTATATATGTATAAATTCTTTAAAGGTTAACTATTTTAGAAAATGAGTGGAGTATTGGTTTCTGAAATTCTATATTTTTGAAGTAAATGGTAAGATTTGTTATTTTTGTTTGAAAAGTTATTTATGCATGGTCAAGTGGAGATATGTAGTGAATCGTGGCATAATAGAGGGTGGGAGGTCACTCTAATGGAGTTAGTGAAAATTTAGTCCATATGGCACTGCTGGCACCTCGGGATGCCAGGTGCAACATTTACTCTCCTTAGTGTTCGAAAATGGGTGCGGTGTTGGAGACTTACTCTCCTTAGTATCCAAAAGGGTGCAGAGTTGGAGACTATACTCTTTAGCATCCGTAGGATGTGGTGTTAGAGTAACGACACCCCAATTACTTATAATAGGGGAAAACAGTAGTCCAGAAGTGGTTTAGGACACCTTGGCCGGATAGTCCTACTACAGATGGTAAGCTTGGGGACCATACATGTGGTTTGATTTTGTGAAATAGCCTACTAGTTCGGTTGAGAGTATTAGAGGACCGGATGGTTAGGGATCATGCATGCAATTTATGGTGATCTTATATGATGTAATTATGTTACTTATTTTAATGCTTATTTATAACTTGACTTGTTAATCAATAATGTAGATTATCTTAGTTACTAAAATTTTTATCTCACTCCGTGGTTATCATTTTATAGGTTCTACCAGTGAGACTGAGCTAGGGAGGGAATCGGGCAGGGGCTAGCATATCTGCTACACTCTTTATAAAGCCCGATTTCAGTTTGAGTAGTGTACATAAACTTATTATATGATAATATATGTTGCCAACTAGGAATGCATATCATTTTGATTGGTTGCACTTATTTCATTCTATGTTGTTTTGTATTTTAGCCCAATATTGTATATAATATGAATATGTGAAAATTTTTATGGTGATGGACTAAAATGCTATTACAAGTATAAGAAATATTTTATTTATGTGGTGACAATGTATACGTAATGTATTATGTGGCAATAGAGGCCAAATAATGCATATGGTGTTGTTTTGGTATTTTGGCCATATTGAGAAAAATGGCTATTGAGTGGCCAAATTTTGTGTTTGATATGTTTTTGTGTGTTTGATTGGTCACTCAAGTGTATTTTGATCCATTAAACTTGGTTTAAGCCTTACTATAGGTTAATGGTATAAGTTATGAGTTTTTGGTACTTGAATGCTTGAAAATCTCTTTAAAAATTAACTTTTACATCTGAGTGTTTAAAATTTTCATATGGTGTTAGATCATAACAAAATATATCATTAGTTAGCTTATTGAATAAGCTTCGCGTGGGCACTTGAATCACTTCAATCGGACATCGGATGCGAAAATGGCGCGCGTTCGAAGTTCGTCTAGAAAAGTTGTTATGACAGCATTGCTGTCATGGACATGTGCGCCGCAACGCATGATACAGCAAGAAAACTTGACTTTCTATGTCACATGCCGCAGCGCATGGACCAAAACACTTAAAAATGACATTTTTGGCCCTATTTTGAAGTGTTTTGCTTCCCAAAACTTTTTCATGCTTCCAATACCTATATAAATCATTAAGTTTGAATTCAAACTATCAATTTGAAGGGTTTTTATGGGATCCTGAATATTCCACAATTATTTCTAAAGATTACTAGTTTTAACTCTTATATATAATGTGAGATTAGGAGCAAATACTTGCTCCTAATTATGATTGTTTGTTGTGATTGTATGGTGAATTTTGGTAATGTCAAGGTAAACATTACATGTGCCACAGCGCATGGCATAGAGAGGTCGTCCCTCATTCAGAAGCATCTGTGTACCACAGCGAACGATCTTCACTCCGTGGCGTGTGGCATATCAACATCAACTCTCCCTTTTCTTCTCCTTTTGATGCCTGTGTGGCCCGCCTTGATACCAAACCCACAACTAAGGTTAAAATACCATCAAATATGATTATTAGATCTTCCTGGTCAGACATCACTTCAACTTATTTAATTACCCTAATTATGTTTAATTAATCAGGGGATTAAAACTTGAGATATTACATTACCTTTTCTTCAAACAATAAATTTAAAAGCTAAATTATTATTGAGACAAACTCAAGAAACTAAATTGTTATCAAGGCAATCCTGAAGAACTAAAATATTATTGAAGCAAATTTTACTATCCCTTTTTAAATATACATTAGGTAACAAATTATAAAGTAGAATGAGTTATAATCTATATTGAATGATAGTATTTTAACATATTTTTTTCTTTATGTATATCATAATTTATTTATTTTTTAATTTTAATGACAAAATGTAAGGGTAATAAATTTTGTTTATAAAATATGTTGTTTACGTTTTTAATATATTGACAAGTTATATAATAAAATATGCTGGTGAAAAAGTGAAAAATTCTATAATAAAAAATTGTGTGAATGCAAAAAATATTTTCAAAAGAGCTATTTTAAATTATGCCAAATAATACTCAAATTTGACTTAGTTAAATAATCATATAAAAAATTGTGCTATTTACATTTTTTATATTGCATCAGGATAAGAAATTATATTTATAAGTAATAACTTTTTAACATAAATATGTTGTTTAGATTTTAATACATGTGGAGGTCACGTATAAAAAATGTTAATATCTTTTATATGCACATGACATTATATTTTAAAATAATTTGTGTAAGAATAAAATAAATTGTTTATCTTTTTTTATTGCTAATAAGTACCCTCCTATTGGAATCAATTTTATTCAAAATATAATCAAGTATTAAATGAAACATTTCATTTAAATGATATTAAAAGAGGAAGAAAATCCTTATGTACTTTATAATTGCTCAATTTGATCATGAGCTTGTACATTTAAAAATTTTAAAAAAGGATTATGGGAAGTTACGATCTAATGAGAGTGGGAGAGATAATGAGGAAAAATAATGATTGAAATAATTTATTTTAAATACAATAATAATATTTCATACTTGAAAAATTTTGATCAAAAATCTAACATGATACATTGAAATTGAATATTTTTAAGGATAGGGAAGTTGGACAATTATGTTAATAGATGAGATTGTAGGAGAAAGATTTTGGGGATACGAGAAAGTGGTTTCAAACAGTTTTAAAATAATATTGTTGTTATCGGTAAAAAAAATTATATTTATAGGAATTAATACTAATGTGTATAGCTTAGAGAATCATAGCATTTTTAAAAGTCCATACTTGTCAAAATCAGAAGGCAATTTTTGGTTTTACTTATATATATAGACACACACATGTATATATTATAAAATTTGCTAATAAATTTGTTTTATCATTAATATGGGCGATTCAGTCTTAATTTGAATGGTATACATTTAATATTTAAATTTTATAATTTTTAGAATTTGACTGTCCAGATTTATTCTAAATGATTTACATTTAAAATTTTAAACTTATAATAATTTTTAAGAAAAATTAATCTTTTAATCCTCCAACTTTTAAGTCACTTGTAACTCAGTCCCTCAATTATAACTCGTTGTGACTCAGTCCCTCAACGTTTGAATCACTTACAAATTAGTCCCTTAACCTTTGTTAATTTTTTTTTCATGTTAGCTTATATCTCACATTAATGAATAAGAAGAGGGTATTTTAAAATAATATATGAACATTTTTTTATCCCTCTTATTTGATAAAAAAATTTAAAAAAATTAAAAAATAAAGACCGAGTTATAGGTAAATTAAAAGTGAAGGAACTGAGTTGTAGTGAGTTATAGTTGAAGGATTAAGTCACAACGAGTCATAGTTGAGGAATTAAGTAATAAGTGAGTTAAAAGTTAAAGGACTAAAAGATTAATTTTCTCTCATTTCTAAACAATGAATATATCTAATATAAAATGTCAATTCGGACAGTAATTTTTCAGCAAAATTCAGAGTCACATAATATCCTACTTGAATTTGAGCTGTTTAAATATTCATTTCCTACTCATTCTTAATTAGAGCTCGTTCGACACATGACTCATTCACTATCAACATTCTCTGGCCCTACTAAAAATTCAAGGAAAGCCGTCGCTAATGTTTGAAGCAAGCAGGTCGGCTTCGATGCTCGGTCTTATTTTGTATGGATCGATGCTTTCGTGGTGTCATATTGGTTTCATGAAAATGCGTCGCTGTTTAATTTTTATAAGTTGGGGTACGGTTTTCCAGGCGAATCGTAGAACGTACTCAATGCAATATCAAATATATATTTGGATGCATAAGAAATTAGATTTAGATTTAAATTTAAACTGAATGAAGAATATCTAAAAATATTTGGAATTTCAAATTTAAATTTATATTTTGTTATAACTTTTTAATAATTTTAAATTCTCTTTAACCTTAGTTATTTGAAAATCTATCAACCCCAACCTTTTCATTTTTTTTTTATCATTTTCACTTTTGGTTTTTGCAGTTATTATCACTATTCCTCCTCATTTTTGTGAAAGAATAGGGATAAGTTCTTCACTTTCAATTTCCTACTTCTACTCTGAATCTCACCTGGTTACTTCTTTACTTTTAAATTTTTTTTACACTATTCAAACAAATTGCTTTAAATGCATGAATTTTAAATTTTAAATTTATATTAAATTCATCCATATAATCGCTATCTTTCTATTATAAGCCATGACATTAGCAATTAGGTTAATAACCTGGTACTCCCAAATCATTGAATACGTTGAATCTGAGTCTTTGATATGGTTTTGAAATCCCTGGTAACATATGTTTCCCAGGCCTAAAAGACTTTGACGCTTTCATCCGCAAGCTTTTCAGATGAAATATCAGCCCAACAACTCCTCTTCCTCTTCTTGCCCAGTACTACGAGAGTTAACCTTGTATGAATGTGACTGGAACATCGAGAAAGTTACAATGAAAATTCCGACATTAACAACCTTAATCATTGAAGATGATGGGCATGGGTCTTCTGATAAACCATCACTCATCTGTGAAGTCGCGATTGATTCTGTGGACCTCGCATCTTTGAGTTGCATTGATTATAATCGGTGGGTAGAACTTGTCCCGATTAACCTAACCTCATTAGTTGAAGCTAGTATCGATATTTGGGGACGTGTAAGTGTTGATCGAGCAGTATAATTTTTGAACTCAATTTGTCAAGTCAAGTCTCTTCAGATCTCGGAAGAAACTCTCATGGTATGTATGTAACATGTCAATTCCCACTATATTTACTTAAAGGTGTCTGTGAACACTCCCTCTGATTCCAGTACGTTAAAATCTACCTTTTATTTTTTTGGTTAGGCTCTTTGTCATGAATCAGAAGATCACCTGCTATGGTCTTATGTGTTACTGCTGTTCATATTTATAAACTTTTTTGTTGGTTATATAAGTTTTAGGGATTCATGAAAGAAACAGATTGGAGCAGAATGCCTCATTGTTTGAAGTATAGTCTCAAGTCATTTAGCATTTCAAATTCTGATGGAAGTTCAGTTGACATGAAATTGCTAAGCTTCTTATTAAAGAACGCGACCTTTATAGAGAGAATCGAGATATTCTGTTTACAAAGCTTATCGTCGGATTTGAAAAGGCTGGCGGAAATCCGAGATCAGTTGGAAGAAATGTGAGGAGGTCTTTTGAGTTGTGCAATTGAGCTTCGGACACCGTCTTACAGGATGTGGAGGGAATCGTGTGGGATGCTGGAACTAACAATTTTCCATTATATTAATTCAAAATACAAATCTTCTTTAATTTTCAAATGTTGCCGGCGATGTTCTCTATCGTTTTGAATTAATAACAATCATTCTTGTATTTTTATTTGCTTCTATCTCTGCTTGATAGAGCAGAGCCCATGCACGAGCTTTTCACTTTTTCTTCACCCTCGCAAGCGGCTTCCACCGTGTTTTTTTTTTATTGAAAAAATTAATCATTAAGTTTTTTAACCAAATTATAATTTACTCCTTAAATTTTAACTCATTATAATTTAATTTTTTATAATTTTAACTTAGTTATAATTAAGTTCCTGAATTTTACATTTTATAACTCAATCCCTATAATTTCAACAGTTTTAATATTGATCCTTGTATTTTTAAAAATAAAATTATAAAGATTAAAAATATTTTAAATTTTTAATATTTATAAAGATTAAAAGGGTATTAGTAATGACTTTTAATATAATTTTAATATTTATAATTTTATTTTTTAATACATAGGGACTAACATTTAAATAATTAAAATTATAAGGACTAAGTTGTAAAAATTAAAATTTAAAGATTGAATTATAACCGAGTCAAAACTTCAAAAATTAAGGTACAACGAGTTAAAGTTTAATGATTAATTTAAAATTGAGTCAAAACTATAATAGATTTTTTCTTTTTGGTTGATTTCTTCAGCATCACTAGTGGTCTTATAAACAATCTTGAAATTGGAGAGTGGAAACGACAAGTTGAAATCTTCTAAAGTTTCTTTTGACAAGTTGAATGACCTGAATTATACAAATGTGGAACAGTTGGGGAAACAGTGCATCGTCCGCAGTAAAAATCTAGAGAACAAAGTATAAGGTGCAAGAGAATAATCTCAGATCTGATCAATGTGTATGGAAGCATATCCATTGAGCACTTTAAATTTGGGCAGTAATCCAGAATTCCCTGGCAGTACTTGTAGAAGATTGTTAATGGCGTGCCGTGTTGTATTCTGATTCTGACAAAGCTAAGGGACTTCTTGTTAATAATTCAATATGAAATTCTCCTAAAAAATTACCTTTTTACATCCTATCCAGCTCATGCCAATCCCATCACCACGTTACAGAGCCTTTTCTATCATCTCTTTGCCAAACCCTCTCTGACATCACAATTAGAGGGAAATTTCTGTCACAGGGTTGCATAATCCTTCACTTTCTATTCCATCAAAGGATGAGCCAAATGGTAACCTACTTGCCAAACCCTCACCATTTGAATTCTGATTTTTTCCCACTCCAACTTTGAAATGGTTTGACAAGCCATTTTCAATAGTTGTTAAGCTTTCTCTTCCTTATATTACAGGTTGGCATCCTTTGAATCAAATGTGGTTGAAGATTATTGTATTTTCATAGTTTGAAGAGAGTTGTGTTACTATCACTCTCACTTAGGCATAACAAGCAATTATTAAAATTAGAAGTGTTGCCTTGATTGGATATACATGCACCTCACATTAGACTTTTTGTATAAATATCATTTAGACACACTTAAAGTTAGTAGATTATTGGATATACATACAACCTGTAAGATTTTTTTTTTTTTTGCAATAGGTTGTGAAATTGGTGTAATTACATGTGAGATGCATGAAGCTATAAGCTATGAAGTACTGATACTTCTAATTGCCTCACGCATCCATATTGATATTGTGTCTAATATTGATATTCGCTGATATTTCTTCAATACATATTCATAGAGTATTGAAATGTTATTTTTTAATTTTAAAAAAATTTTATTTTTTGATATGTATTCAATACTTCTAAATTACTATTTGATACTTTAAAGTCGATACTTCAAGACTACTTTTAAGAAATTAAATTTTATTAAATATTGCAATATTAAATTTTTTTTGTTTCTAATATATTTTTGTGATTTCCTTTCAAAGTCAAAGATTACATTTTTTTTTCAAATAATAAGTTTTAGATATAATAAAAAGATAAAATTATATTTTTAATTATAAAAATGTAGACATATAATTTTTTGATATATAAACCCTAAGTATAGAATTATCAACAGAGAAGGGGCTAGGTAATTAGGTAGAGATAGAGTAAAAGTATAATTAATAATTATTGTTTTGCTTGGTATTACTATAAAGAACTATAGCTGAAGATTTCAAAAATAGCTTAGCAGTGATTGAAATGGACTATATGGAGTTGTTCTCAGCTATCATCACCAAAAGCACGTCTCATTGCCATTGGAATTGTCATGGCTTGCTGACTGATTTCTTGGAAAATATCAGATTGAAAGACCTACTCTCCTTTTCCTGAGGGAAACACTGCAGTTGACTGAATAGCAGCTAACTCTCTAAAAGGTGTGGCTCTCCATGGTTGGATCCTTCAACCTCCACGCCTTCTCCTTGACATACCGTCATCTGATATAGTTATAGAGCAAAGTGACTCCCCATAGCCTATGACCATCAGGGACAAGGAAGGGATTGGCTAAAGTTTGTGGCTTTGTTTCTTGCGTTTTCCAGGCCTCTGCCACTTGGGCTTAGGGCTTAGTCTTGTCTTTTGTTTCTTTGTTTTTGCAGCGTTGTTTTATATCTATCTTGTTTGACTTTCTCTATCTTTGATATATGCCTCTTTCACTGTTGGTCAAAAAAATAATATATATATGCTAGGTTGGATATTTTTTAAATTAAAATTATATCTTTAATGTTTTTATAATTTTTTTATAACTATATTTGCATGTATCAGAAACATATTACATCCTACATTTTTAAAAATAAAAGTATCGACAATTTGCGCAACATAAACTGTAAATATATTTTGAATACATTCTAATATTAAGTTATACATTATGATATAAAGTCAATTATCATTTCCTACTCTCTTTTTCCTAACCTGTCATTTATCAAATTGGGTATAAGGCATTAAAATGTTTAAATTTCAATTGGGAAGTTTCATTCGTTCAGTAAGTTTTAGTAACAAAGCTATAATTGATTTAATAAAGCTCTAATTGCAATGTTGTCAATTGGGTAACCCAATGTGAAGTTGTAAGCTGCAAGTTGTAATATATGTTGTCATTACAAGCGCCCTTAGTTGGCATTACAAGCACCATGACTTGTCATTGTAGGCACTCTAACTTGTTATTGCCCTGCTGCTAAGTTGTCATCTATTAAAGTGGGTGTGAGCCGTGCAAGTGTTTGAATTTCTATTTTTAAGTTTCATTCCCATCATTAACTTGGGTGCCAAAGCTTTATCATAAGTTTAGAAACGTCTAAAACCTTAAAACTTATTTTTAACACAATTATCCCTTTTAACTTTTGAAAACAGGACAATATTACAACTACAGTTGACAGAAATCAATTTTAATTGTTAATTAACCAAAAAATAATTAAAAAAATTATAAAAAAGGACCCCAAAAGGCAAAAATAAAAACAATGCCCCAAAAAACAAAAAATGACAAAAAAATATCTTGGTCTTTTTTTATCATTTTTTATTCACCAAATTGTCAAAATTAACGGCCAAAGAAATTGCCATAATTTAAATGTTTAAAAGTAAAAATGCACGAAAAATGTGTTTTAGAATTTCATTTGTTTTTGAGCTTGGAGTTTATGAGCCAATTGTCATTTTAACCATTATTTAATTACAATATCTCAATCTTATGGTTTCGATCCTTTGTATATTATGCATTATGGAATGTCCTAAGCGTTAAAAAAGACCAGTTTTGGTCAAGAGAAAGAATCAAGCTTTCCATGTTCTCTCGTCACTTTAGCATATACGATGACCAAGCCTTTCTACAACAAGCTGATTTGTGATGAGCGCAGGCTTGACCGTGTCATCATCCACTGTCATCCGAAAACTCATAAACAAGTCGTACAAACAAGATAACTGCAATTTCCTTTGAAATAGTAATACAACATGAGGCCGTCGGTCTAACTGGAATTGTTCTCTGTCTTTTTATTTTTTACGGCAAACAGAAAGGGAAACGGCGAATTTGTAGTTGTAATCTGGTATAAGCAATTAAACCATAAACCTTCATTGATGTTCAGGAGTTGAAATCCTACGGGTGTTGTACGAACCGCATTGCCCGCACTTGTGACCTAAATGTGAAAGGACACAACGCTGTTGGTATTGACAAATCATTGCACAGAATCGAGACCTGTAAGATATACAAGCAACCCAGTGGTTAAATTTTGTTTTACAAGAGCAACCTAAAATGAGAAACTTCCAATATATTCCCCCCATTCGCCTTTCCATTTTATTTTCTCTTCTATATATGCTCAGGGTCAGCGGTGTCCTATAACTATATGTATATGATGCTTTCAATCATGTCATGCAGAAAGCGTACTATGAATTTGTTTAGAATTCAAACAGGATTTAATAACTTGTCTAGTTATGCTCTTAGAAGACCAGCCAAAGAGAATAACAGAGTGTAAGTAACAACCTCAATCTTATACTCCTGAGGCATCGGAACAGCTTCAATCTGTCAACATAAAAAATAACCACATCAAAATAGAATCATCCA